ATAAAAAAATAGGCTAGCCCTATATGCCCAATAGTTCTGAAGGCGTAGAAAAATATGCTTTAGTTTACTATCACCAAAAACTTTGATGCGTATAATTGCGTAAATCAAAGTGTCAAATAACATAACGTCCTCGGCTTTTTGTTTTATAAATAACTTTTAAAATGTTTTATTTGTAATACACCGAAGAAAAAACATGTTAGTATAACATATTATTATTAGTATAAACGCACTTAAAAAATGTCTTGGCACGCTTTTGAACCCTTTTGAACCCTGAAAAGGGGCGAACCTCTGAGGTTAAAAATCCACTGATCTACATGTAGGGAATCCATAACTAACTTTCCTCATTATCCCTCTTGGCATATACAACATTGTCTCCCCATCAGTAATTCCCCCAAGCAGCCGTCTGCAACACAACCATTTTTTTTTTTTTTGGCTTGCTTGTTATTCTGCTTTGGCGTACACTTTTATCTGGCAATTTATTGTTCATGTATATATTTCCCCGACTTCTGTAATCGAATGTGCCTGAAAGCTGTCAGAATCCCCCCGTCTTTACATGTGGAGATGTTATGGATTCGGATATGTAGATTCTAGATAGTAATACCGTGTCTGATTTTGTATGGACGCCAAATATACGTCTTCATGACATGATACGGTTTCCTAGGTCTGTTCTGTATTGGCGACTGTTGACGATTTTCGCGACTGGGCACACAGGAGGTATAAATAATGACCAGTCGATTTTGTTAAAAACATACGAAACACGTGAAACAAGCAATTAGTGTGACAAAAATAAAGCAACTGGGGGCCGGGGGAGGGGGAGAGGAAGACAACCCTTATGTTATTTAAAAAAAAAAAAGTAGCATAAAACCCCGTGCAATTGAGAAGATACATTTTTCTTCTTCTGCATTTCTAGCCCCCACTAGAGCATAGGCCCTCAACCAACTCACACCGAGTCGTTCTATCCTTTGCTATCGCATGCAGTTCTTCCCATCTTTCTTAACTTAATTCTCCAGCTCCCTTCTCCGTGTATTTTTTTTTTTTTTTGTCTTCATTTATTCCTATGCCCCTGTGGGTTCCAGTGCAAAGAAATTCTAGTTATATTGTTCTCCTGTTTTCTCAATGTGTGTCCTATCCAATACCAGTGTCTTTTCTTCACCTCTTGGTCCACTGGAGCCTGCTTAGTTCTCTCCCAAAATTATACATTAGTGATTCTATCATACCAATTAATTGCTTCAGGCACCAGTTAATGGATGTCTGTAGTTTATTAGTAATTACCTTGGTTGTTCTCCATTTTTCCGCCCCATACAAAAGTACTGATTTGACATTAGAATTAAAAATTGTGAGTTTAGTATTTATTTTAATTCCTTTTGACCTCCACAAATTCTCTAGTGCTATGAAAGCTCCTCTTGCCCTTTGTATTCTTATTTTAATATCTCTATCAGTTCCCCCATCTTTATCTACATTACTGCCCAAATACGTGTACGACTATGTCTTCGAGTGGGGTGCCATTAAGAAAACTCACGTTACTATTTGCCTGATTTATTCACATTATCTTTGTCTTTCCTTAATGGAATTTCAAACCTAACTTTTGTGATCTCGCATCAAGTATATTTAATTTATCTTGCATCCGATTCCGTGAATGGGACAGAAGAAAAATATCGTCAGCGAAGTCTAGATCATCAAGCTGTTTTGTAGGGCTCCACTGAATTTCATTCTTGGTGTTAGCAGTTACTGTCTTATAATCCAGTCTATAGCCAGTAAAAGTAGAAGAGGCGACAAAAGACATCCCTCTCGCACACCTGTTTTTATTTCAAATGTATCTGTTAGCTTTCCCTCATGAAGAACTTGACATTTCATGTCTTTATATTTTGCTTTTACTAAGTTAATAATTTTCTGTGGGATTCCATAGTGCCCCATCACTTTCCAAAGAGATTCCCTAACAATGCTGTCAAATGCGTTTTCATAGTCTATGAATCCAATCTAAAGTGGTGAGTTCAGTTCAATGCTTTGCTCTATTATTGTACGTAATGTGGCTATCTGGTCAGTACAGGATCTGTTTGATCGAAAACCTGCCTGTTCATCTCTTAGCTTTTTATCAATAGCATCTTTTAATATTTCCAAAATAATAATTCTACTTAATATTTTCCCAAGAACTGACAGCAACACATTTCCTCCATAGTTTTTACACTCCTGTAGATCACCTCTTTTGGGCAGTTTCACAAGATATCCTTCTCTCCAGTCTGCTGGTATTTCTTCCGTCTCCCAGACTTTACTAAATAATCTATGTAGAAATTCTGTTAATGTGTTTATGTTGGCCCCACTGGCTTCTTCTGGGACACCATCTGGACCTGCCGCATTGCCTTCCTTGAGAAGATTGATAGCTTTTCTAATTTCCTCTTTAGATGGTATCTCACATTTGATATCCAGTTCCATTTCTAAAGGCCTGGTCTATTTAGAAGTATTTCAAAATGTTCAGCCCATTTGTCCATTTGGTCTTTAGTGTAAGTAGGTACCTTTCCTTGACTATTTTTGATTAATCCAGTTGGCTGACTATATTTACCTACTTATTTTCTTGTATTACTGTAAAGTTCTCTGAGGTTTCCCTTTGCTGCTGCTGTCTCCACTTCTTGCGCTAGATCATTGAAATATTTCACTTTTTCTGCCCTTATATACCTCCTTACTTCCTTACTGGCTTCTGTGTATTTATCCTGAGCTCTAGCTTTAGCAGCTCTAGTTTTGCTATTATTTAAGTATACCTTTTTTACTTGTCCTTTCTTCAATCAATTTAATGGTTTCTGATATTATCCACGCTTTATGTTTCCGTTCTTTCTTGCCAAAAACTTATACACAAGATTTATTCCAGATTCCCTTAATCTTATCCCAGCAGACTCAGTGCTTACATCTTCAGCTAACTGCTGCAACACCTGGTACTTATTAGAGACTGTTAGTGAAAATTGCTTCTTTACTTTTTTATCCCTGAGATAACCTACTTATACTGGTTTCTTTGATTATAAGATGTTATGTATCTTTAAGCTTTAACTGGATTTTACTTACCAACAGAAAATGGTCAGTAAATACATATGCACCTCTGAAAGCCCTAACATCATAAAGGGATGATCTAAACTTTTTGTTAGCACATAGGTAATCAATTTGATTAATTGTCTAATGGTCTATTATTCCCATGTTGCCTTATGTATTCTTTCATGAGGAAAATACTTCCACCAATAACATACTTGTTTCTGCACACAAATGTGTGAATATTTCTCCATTTTCATTCGTTACTCCTAGAAGAAGATAAATATTACGTAACAAATGAACTAAAAGCCCCTCTCAGTATTACCCTAGAACATTACTGTCACATGAAGCGTCTGTCGCATGTCTTTATTAGTGTGTCCCTGGTAATCAAAGACACTCTGAAGTGACCTAATGATAGATGGTGGCTCGCATCGGCTTAGAAGGTACTCTGTAGCTCCAACGACCATCCAACATCACTTCATGGGTGAGGCGACTCAAACTATGATTCCCACTGCAATAATAAATATACCTGGGCACAACTTTGCCTGACCTCCTCAACATTTAGAAGCCACCAGACTAGATAGCAAACCTTTCATAGTCAAAATATAACACAGTAACGAATATGACACAAGAACACCACAACCACACACACAATCTAATCTATAAGAACTGGCAAAGATTGGACACTGACAAATCTGAATCCAGAATAATAATACATCATGTAATGAGTACAACAAAGGTAAAGATTCTGAAAAGTAAATGAAAGTAGAGGACAATGAAACTAATAAACTCAGAACTGAACTCTTCCAGAAAGACTCCTGGGCTGCCTACGACACTTCACCGCTCATCACTGCAAGAAATTGTTGTGTCGAGAGTAAAAGTGGGCACTAGTGTCTTGGGTTGCTGCAGTTCTGGAGAATCCCTCTCGATACTTAACTGAGATGGACTTGATCTCTTCACAGTTCATTGGCCGGACTTTACTGCTGGACAATGAGTTAGGCATCAGTTCTGTAGTAATGCTCCTCGTATATAAACGCATAAAATGTAGCATAACACATAGATTTAGAAAGGGCTGCAACTTTGTTTTTATAACAACCAAAATCAACTGTAAACAAAATAATTAAATTTCTTGCTAAGCAAACTACTAAGTCTGTGTATAACCTGAATGTCATATTCTGCTATAGAACGTTGCAAAACCAACCGCATAATTTTTTGGCAGTTGCGGTTTTTCTAGGCGAATTAAAGTTCAGTAGTTTGCCATTGCTTTCTAAACGGTGGGCTCTCGATACCACCGTCGAAACCAACGCAAGGCGAACTGCTGCCAAATCGCCTACTGCTAGAATCGATCCCAGACCCACGGCCTTGCGTTTGCAATGCTTGAGCCACGGACGTCGACATTCTGCTAGACCATTAGTCCAGTCACATCGAAACAAGACAATCGAACATGGAAGCTCAGATCCCATCCCACCTCCCATCCATCTTCCCAATTTTAGAGGGGGTTGAACCCTCGCCAACAGTTTTGTAAAGGAACTAAACAGTTCCTTTTATCCATATGTGGAAATTCTTTTGAGCATTATTTGTTGATCCATTTCATACTATTTTAAATACAGCGCTATATTTATTCGCTATTCACTACATCGAATCAGTATTCCTTTAAAAAGAAAAATCTATACCCTTTCTGGTATTACATATTTGCCAGATAAGATGAGAGGGTCAACAGGCTTAATCTTAGTTAAAGGGTATAGCAAAATAATAGTGACCATGGTGGGGATGATGTTATATTGAAGCCCCATCCTGGCTGTTGCCGGGGGCCCTAATATAACCTAACGGTTGATTGGGGTTCCCGGGACCTCTTAAAGGGTGATCCTCATCTGCATGGTGGCACTTTGTGTCACCGGGTGTTTGTCGCTCTATGTGATGTCTTAGTGGGGTTAAACTTATTTACTTATGATGCATCGAATAGCAAGAAAATAAAAAAAATGTTTCAAATGGTGGACATCGATAAACAAATAGTCTTAAAAACAAAAAAATTCAAAATGGGCCTTTATAAAAGTTTTCGCGAGGATTCAACCCCTCCACCCCCCTTTTTTTCTAAGAGTTGGGAGGGAGGGGGGGGGGGCGGGGTTATCTTCATAGGTTCCTCGAGGGATCTGAGCCTCCAGATTCGGGTGCCTGTGATCCAAATCTCTTTCAAGGTGCAACTTTTATACCAATGCCCAACAAAAGCCATGCGAGCGGCTTTTTACGAGATCAGTCAGTCAGTCAGTCCGTCAGTCAGTCAGTCAGTCAGTCCGTCACTCAGTCCGTCAGTCAGTCCGTCAGTCCGTCACTCAGTCCGTCAGTCAGTCAGTCAGTCAGTCAGTAGCATGTCCCTTGCAGAACCTTGCTCCCATAACAACCCTCCGAGAAATTCTCGATCCCGTGCAGGATGTTCCACGTCCGATGCACCCATTTGGAGATCATCCGCCACATCCTGCACCCATCTTCTCTTTAGCCTTCCTCTTCCCTCTTCCCAGCCATATACCCCTCCAACATTGTTCTCTCCAAACTTTTACTACGTTACAAGTCACCAAAATATTTCAATTTTCTGTGTTTTATCATCTTTAATAGCCAACCTTCTTCAGTATTCAGTTTTTGAAGTATGAATGCATTTGTTCTGTTCTTTACCCATGATATTCTTAGAACCCGTCTATAACATTTGTATACAAAGGCATTTATGCGCTGTTCAGCTTGTTTAGTAAGTGTCTAGGTCTCACAGGTGTATGTTGCAATGGGAAAGATACATGCTCTTAGAAATCTAGTTTGTGTATTCTGTTTGTCCCACTACATAATTGATTTACTTTCAGTCTTACATTGCGATATGTCGAGAACAACTAGTTACATTTAAGCTGTACATTTTATGAAGTCATGATTTCCTTGAAGTTATTCAGAACGAGAACCATACATACTCTCTGGTTTTTCAGAGCGTGGCAGAGAACAAAGACTCAGAGCTGGGAAGTAATGGAGAGATCCACACGGACAACCTGGAACCCATGTACACAGGTCCCGGAGACCCCGAGCGAGCCAGCTGGGGTGGGAAGATGGAGTTTCTCATGACCTGTATCGGGTACGCAGTTGGCCTTGGGAATGTTTGGAGATTCCCTTATTTGTGTTACAAAAATGGTGGAGGTGAGTGTCATAAGATATTGTTCAATGAATATTGGTAATGTTTAGGGCGTTCATTGTTTACAAATGCTAAATGTTTTATGACACGTTTATCGTACAATTTTGACGTTTTCAAAGGCAGTGACAATAAAGCCAATATTGCGTGTTGCTTGACTGGTCCTTATACAGCTTTGCCTTCTTTCATAAATGTTCGACTTAGGTTTTTTTGGGCGTCCTTGGCTCCTTAATCCCTTTATTTCCTATTTTAATGCCTGTTTGGTGATTCTCTGCTGGTTTCTTCTCAGAAAGTGTCCAGTGTAGCGCCATTTTCTTTTTCCAATAACAGTTGATATTAGTAGTTGCCCAGATATGTCTCTTATTTCTTAACTTCTTTTAAATTCTTCCCATTTTAATTTCGTCCTTTTCCTCAAAAAATGTGTTTTGCAGTGAACCCATTTTCTTCTAAAAAAAATTATGTCCCGGACGGAATGACGTCAGCTAATAAATGTGAGTGGAATATTTTGAGTGTAATTGCGACAACATGTGAATTGTAGAGAAATACTGACTAGACGAATTCCATTTGACCAGCAGTTTCTATGTGATCCGCGTTAATTCCATTTGACCAGCAGTTTCTATGTGATCCGCGTTAATTCAATTTGACCAGCAGTTTCTATGTGATCCGGGTTAATTCCATTTGACCAGCAATTCTTTGTGATTAGCACTTTGTGTCACCAGATGTTTATCGCTTGTATAATGTCCTGGTGGGATACAACAAGAGAAATAGAAAGAGAGAAAACGAAAGAGAGAGAGAGAGAGAAAGAGAGAGAGAGAGATAGAGAGAGAACGAGAGAGGGGGGGGGGGGATACCTTACTTGGTTTTGAAACTATAAAATTTAGAGTTCTATATTTTGTGCAAGCAATTAAAAGCTGCTGATACTTCGCCAATCCGTGTTGTAATTTAAGTCCTTGTTTTTCCTTCACTATCAAAATTACGAACACAATAAGTAAACTGATCCGTTACTTTAATTACTTTTGTCTCTAGTGTTACCTCTGCTTGATCTGTTGTTGGTGTCTTCAATATATTTGTCGTCTCATAACTTTTTTGTAGTCCAATTCTTGATTGTATTTTTGCAAAATCATCTTTTTTTCTTTGCATGTCATTGCTAGTTTATGGAAAAAAAAAAATAGTTTTGCACAGGGTTTGGAAGCTGGCCCCACAGCCAACCCTTCTTCTTGCTCGTCCGGGATTGGGGCCGGCAATGGCGGAATCCACACATACATATGTGTGCGTATGTGCGCCGGTTCCTATATCGGAGAGAGAGAGAGAGAGACAGAGAGAGAGTGAGATAGAGGGAGAGAGACATAGAGGGAGAGAGGGAGACAGAAAAAAGGGTGTTAGGAAGATAAGGATGCGGAGGGAGCCGAGAAGGAGGGAGACAGTTCATTAGAGAAATAAAGGATATGAAAATTTATGAAGTTAATTACTAGTAAAAGAAAATGAATATATATATATATATATTATGTGTAGTTGATAATATTTTCGTTTATGATTATTTCAGGCGCATTTCTCATACCTTATATTCTCATGCTGCTGTTAGTCGGTCTTCCTCTCTTCTTCATGGAGCTGGCTTTTGGACAGTTTGCCAGTTTGGGCCCTATCACAGTTTGGAGAATCAACCCTCTGTTTAAAGGTAATAATTTAAAACATAAGAAGCGTGTCGCGTAGTTCAAGTCCATGATATACCGGTGTGCATGGTTATTAACAGGCTGATAGATTAGCTGTTTTAGTGTAAGATTTAAAAAAAAAAAGAGTGGATGGTATTTTAATGCAAGCATGAGAATGGAGGTGAAACAGCAATGCAGCTTTCCTATGGCTGGCGAGGGGGCTGCGTGGTTTTGAGGCATGGTGTTCGCCTCGAGTACTAGAGGTTCCGGGTTCAATCCCCGGTAAGGGCTGGCATTTTTTCACGTGGACTTGGACTTCTAGCAATTTCCCCCTGGTCTCTGGGTAGTGAGATCGGACGCACGTGTGCATTGTTGCGCACGTAAAAAATCCCTTGGCAGTTGGAAATCGAAACAGAGTAGCCTAACGGCGCTGCCCTGGCAAAATTTGGAATTAAAAATCTACTCAAAAGTATTTCAGGTTCCTCGCGGGTGCTACAGAGCCTGTGCACTGTGCTGAGCTTCTTCGGACTCGGACTTAAGATAGAAAAAAAAAAAAACAGAGCACTTATGGGTTACTACACCCTTGTGATGTTGATCCGTTGTTCAAACCTCAAACCTACGGCTGGGAAGTGGTGCAGTCAGACATGCTGCTACCATAACTGGGTTGCAGTGCGCGTTTCGGAAAAATAAAAACTAGAGCTTTTTAAGGACCACCCCCCCCCCCCTCTCCCCTTTTCCACCAAACAAAAAAGCATATCTTGGAACCCACCAGGATATTCGGGTGTGTGGGGTAACGAAAAGGCTGATAGATTAGCTGCTGCCGCGCTGTCGGAGGAAAGCTACTTTAGGTTAAAGCAGACGTCGTAAAGGCTCTCTGAGATCTTTATATATATAATTCAGGTATATACGTTAGTGGATCCTTTTCTTTTTTGTACACTCTATCTAGGGGACTCCGAGATTTCGTGAGGAATTCCCAGGAAAGTTCAATATTATATGGGTGTTAGGGTATGAAATGAACACCGACTAAAACTAACCCTACCCCCCCCACCCCCCACCCACACCTGCATAATATTGGACTTTCCCGAAAACTGCCTGCAAAATCTCGGAGTTTCTGAGATAGGGTGTGGGAAAAAAATGAATAATACCCTTTACTCTTAGTCTACACAATTCCACAGGTCTGGGGTACGCCATGGTAATCGTCTCTTGGATGATTAGCCTCTACTACAACGTGATCATTGCCCAGGTGCTCTTCTACCTGATCGCTTCCTTCACCGACAAACTTCCCTGGACCATCTGTCAAACCAACGCTTGCCTTCCGTACAACCACACCCACGGCAACCAGGCCATTAACGGTAGGTTGTGTGGGTGGATGCTAGTTTATGTGTGGGTGGGTTGGGTGTTTTGTGTGTGTGAAAGTGTCTGTGGGGGTGTGAATGGGGTGAGGCTTATGTGTGTATGTGTAGATGAGGAAATGTGGTGTATGTATCTTTTTTCTTCTTCTTCTTCTTCTTCTTCTTCTTCTTCTTCTTCTTCTTCTTCTTCTTCTTCTTCTTCTTCTTTTTTTCTTCTTCTTCTGCTTCTTCTGCTTCTTCTGCTTCTTCTTCTTCTTCTTCTTCTTCTTCTTCTTCTTCTTCTTCTTCTTCTTCTTCTTCTTCTTCTTCTTCTTCTTCTTCTTCTTCTTCTTCTGCTTCTTTTTCGTCGTCTTCTTCTTCTTCTTCTTCTTCTTCTTCTTCTTCTCTTCTTCTTCTTCTTCTTCTTCTTCTTCTTCTTCTTCTTCTTCTTCTTCTTCTTCTTCTTCTTCTTCTTCTTCTTCTTCTTCTTCTTCTTCTTCTTCTTCTTCTTCTTCTTCTTCTTCTTCTTCTTCTTCTTCTTCTTCTTCTTCTTCTTCTTCTTCTTCTTCTTCTTCTTCTTCTTCTTCTTCATTAGCTTGACGTTTACCGGCTGTAAAATCCAGCGAATAGTTTTGGTTGTTCGTCCACCTCTGGACTTTAGTCTCCTTCCAGAAGCTATGTGTTGCGTGCACATCAGTTTTACAGATCTGACATATTTATATGCGTTCTGTTGGTTTTCTGCCTCTCAGGCTGATGCACACCGACCTTGATCAATTAATCGACCAATTAATCGACTCCTACGACATGCTTGTTTTGGAGGCAGTGAGTCTGTTCTCGGTTCCTACCCCCTCCCCACCACAACAGGCCCCAACACCCATACAGGTAATTGTAGTGTATGTGCGTGTGTGTGTATGAACATCTGTCAGCTTGTCTCTTCCTATGACTGTCTGTCTAGGTGTCTTCCCCGTTGGTTTATCTGTCAGTGTGTCTGCCTGCCATTGTCTGTGTGTGTATATCTGTCAGCTTGTCTCTTCCTATGACTGTCTGTCTAGGTGTCTTCCCCGTTGGTTTATCTGTCAGTGTGTCTTCCTGCCATTGTCTGTGATTGTATGTTTGTTTATTGTTTGTTTATTCTACGAATCAACATCATGGCACACCGGTGTAACCCAAAAGTGCTCTGTTCTACGTCTAACTCAGGCCTGTATAGAGAAACAGCGCAGTGGACGAACTCTGTTGCAACTGCGAGGATCCTGAAATACTTTGGGTAGATAAAAAAATCAAAATTTTTGCCCGGGCAGCGCCGTTAAAATATCACCAAGATTGTATTTTATTTCCAGAAAGTATCCGATATTCTGTGTTAACTTATCTAACGGATGCAGCAGTGAACCTGACAGGATCCGCCTCCGCCAGCCCCTCTGTTGGTACAACAACCGTCACTGTTCAAAGCACAACAGCGGCTTCTGCATTGTTTGACCTTGACTCGTCAACGTTTGCCCCCCAACGCCTGAGCTCCCCTGCAGAAGAGTACTACAGGTGAGTGACGTCAGATTTGCATCACACAGGTACACACACAGGTGTGAATGTTGCAGTGCAGGTAACATTACAGCGAGCATTGTCGTGGGTGATAGATGTTTTGTTTCGTTTAAGGGTCTTTTTCATTGCTCACGAAGTGATTCGGTAATCTCCCATGGGTTATATAACGAGCATCTGAGTACAGTGCACTAACTAACAATCGCAATTTAGTAGTCCTGGCTACGATCCAAATGAATTGTGCATGCTTTATTTACTAATTTATGTGTTGCTTTTCTAAATTTGAGATTTTACTTAAGGTATTCCAAGTAGAATCCTAGACTATAATTTTTTTTTTAAACAGATGAAATGATTTGGCCAACTGCCAAACTACCAACTTTAACTCTTTAAGTCCCAGGGGGTTTAGCATCCGAGGCCCAAGAGATAGTCAAGAGAGACGTAAAGTCAGCACATCTTGCGTTCATTGGGCCTCTAGTAATGAACCTATGAGCGTATGATGCGTTCCTTGGGACTCAAAGAGTAAGATTCACCACCCACAGAGAAAGAGAGAGAGAGAGACAGACAGACACACACACAAAGAGAGCAAAGAGAGAGAGAGAGAGAAAGATACAGAGAGAGAGAGAGAGAGAAACAGAGAGAGAGAGAGAGAGAGAGAGAGAGAGAGAGAGAAATATACACACACAGAGAGAGAGAGAGAGAGAGAGAGATAGAGAGAGAAACAGAGGGGGAGAGAGAGAGAGAGAGACATTCCTCACTGCAAAAGAGCCCTCTCCTCGTTTATATAATTTGATTCTAACGTCCATACTAACAATTTGCCAGTGTCCAGATTTGTCCATCTTTGTCTAAATCGTTGGGCGTCTGTGGCTTAGGCGTTGCGTAATAATGGTGTCCCTTGCGTTGGTTTCGACAGTGGTACCGAGAGCTGACCTTTCAAGAAACAATGGCATACTACTGAACGTAAGATTTGCCTAGAAAAACCACAACAGCCAACACATGTTGGGGTTGGCTCTGCAACGTACTGTAAAGGATACGTAACTAACTTTAACGTCTAAATCGAATCCAGACACTCGAAATATCGCCAATGAGAACCCTAGAGACAGCAACCTTGAAGACAAGTATGCTCAGAAGCAATCTACTGCTGATCCAGACATCACTTTCTTTTGACAATTTCAAATGCTTCCAGACGATACAAAACATGTGATACAAACCCTTTAGGACAGCTTGCAGTCCGCTTCTATGAGGGTTTGTTCCACTTCAGGGAAGCATTTACATGTAAATCTCGGAACTTTTCATGTGCAGAAACAAAAATGTAAACACGCACACATTGTGGAACTGGTAGATAGTTAGAAGATCGCTTCCCTGAACATCTTATGGATATTAGCAATTCGGCTCCTCAACCAGTCTTAAACCAGCATTTAAAAAGTGCTGGCATCAAGGCATTTATTACCATTTACTCCCATAAAATCTTGCACCAATGATCACACCAGCCGTCTTTCCTTCGAAAATTGCTTTATTACTAGTTTTGGTGTTCTCATTCCTACAGGCTATATTTTTCAGTATACTTTTATATAATTTGTAATTTACTTTATATTTCTCCCCGATTTTCGGCAGCCTTCTTATCTGTAACTTTCCGTAATCTCCGTATTTTCCCCAATTACATATTTCTTGTGTCATGTTGATCTTGAATATTTATAAGTTCCGTTGTTTTGTCCAGGGAGTTTCAGGGAGTTTTCTAGTCACAGTATAGGTTGTACTTAGTACTTCGCTAACAAATACTGTTTTCTTTTCCATTCCCATCGTTAAGCTTTCTAGTGCCAAATTGTGGTATTTAGCAGTAATCACAATGCACCATTACAACAACAACAAAAACAACATGAACAAATTTACTTTGGCTCTCAGCTAGACGCTCGCCGCGGATCGGAAGCCTTGAGTGGTTACCGGGTGTAGTCCAGGGAAAGTAAAGGCAGCCGGCGTGATGCTGACCACATCACCCATCTTGTGCCGGTTGGTCTATAAAAATATAGGTCTAGCCCTATATGCCCTATGCGTCTAAAGGCATGGAAAAGGGTCCTTTACTTTTTACTTTACTTTCTCAGGTGGATCCCGCCTCTCATGGGTATCCAACTAAAGCCATGAGAAGTAAAGGGGACCGGCGTGACGTTTACCACACCACCTATTGAGTGCCGATTGGTCTATAATAATAATAATAATAATAATAATAATAATAATAATAATAATAATAATAATAATAATGATAATAATAATAAAAATAATAATCTAGTATCATGTTCCGAAAGCACCCATCGTTATCATCAAGTACCTTGCTGACTCGCTTGGGTGATCATACCTCTTCACAATCTGCGAAATTCAACAGGATGCATTACTTCGTTTGCTGACATCCCTCCCCTCGATGCCATGATAAAAGTCTGTCAAGAATAGTCTTGTGTTGTCTTCCTCTGCCTTATTTTCCACAGATCTTTCCTGTGGTCACATGTTCTAGTTTGCTCCTTCTCATAACATGAACCCCTAAAAAAAAAAGACTGCCTTTTTCTGATGTTTGTTGTAAGACGTCTTGAAACCTAAGTTGCTCTTCTTAGCTGTCCTAGGAAGTATTGGAATTCGTCTGTAAAACCACATCTCCATAGCCTCAAGAAATTGTTCGACTTATTTATTAACTGTCCAGTAATCGCAGCCATATGTTAAAACTGGCTCTTTATAGCTTGCGATAATTTTTGTTCTAACTTCCAAAGAGATTGACCTATTGCATACAATGTTTTTTCATCTTCCGGATGCACATATAGCTTTAAAATAAAAGGTCCTTCACTTTACTTACAACAATGCCACCACAGCTTCTTCTTCTGTCTTTCTAGCCCCAAGTGGAGCATAGGTCCTCAACCAACGCACACCAAGTCATTCTATCCTTCGTTATCGCACGCAGCACTCCCCATGTCCTCTCCCATCTTTTTAATCTTACTCTCTAGCTCCCTTCTCCATGTGTTTTTAGTCTTCTTTTATTTCTGTGCCCTAGTGGATTCCAGTGCAAAGACATTCTAGTTATATTTTTCTCAGGTCAGGTGTTCTCAGTGTTTGTCCTAACCAACGTCAGTGCAACGACAGCGTCTTTTTTCTGCATCTCTTGGTCCACTGAAATTTGTTTAGTTTACTCCCAACGCAAAGCTCTACACTGGTGACTCTGTCATACCATTTAATTCCATCTATTCTGCGCAGGTACCAGTTAATGAATGTTTGTAGTTTATTATTAACTGCGTTATTGCTCTCCATGTTTCCGCCCCATAGAACACTACAGCTTTGACATTAGAATTACACATTGTAAGTTTATTTCACTTTTAATTTCTTTTGACCTCTATGAAAGCCCTTATTTTTATCAATTTGGTATTCCCTTGTTCTTTCAGTTTGTCTTTCAGCACTTGCCTATACAGAAGTCAGCCAGTATAGAAGAGTTCGGAACAATCAACTGGCGCCTTGCTCTATGTCTCCTGTTGAGTTGGATTATTGTTGGAGCGGCTCTGGCAAAGGGGGTGCAGTCTCTAGGGAAAGTAAGCAAGCCTGGCCATATACAAACATACACACACACACACACGCACGCACGCACGCACGCAGGCACGCAAACACGCGCGCACACACACGTCATACACCAGGGCTATTCATCTGGCGGCCTGTGGGCCAGATGTACAAAACCATATGAAACGAGCTGTGAACAGTTATTATTAATTTTTTTTTTATTTATGACAATGCAGCTGAAGTGACAATGCTAACGTTCATTTATGTTTCAAACAAGTTGGAAATACGCGTATTTTAATTAAAAGTGAGTATTTTTTAATCATTACAAAAGATTTTACATGATAATGGTTTACAACACTGTTTCCTACCCCCATTTTCAACATTTTGGCCTGCGAGTAAAGTAAGTTGAATTGCCCTGTTATACACCTTCTCCTCGACTTACGCCGTATGCGACTTATGACCATTCCCACTTACGACCACATACACACACACATAAGTTATACAAAGAAATGTGACTAAACTGACAATGTCAAAAAGTTCACAGCACTGATGCCTGCGGCGTATGGCAAACTGTAACTACTGACCTGCCTACTGCCTGACCCCAGTGGTTCCAGAAGTAAGGGAACAATGTCGAAGATCAGATAGAAAATCACGGTCTGAAGAGAATGGCACAGCAAGGAGTGACCAGGTGATGTGGGCGACACAACGCTCAGGGGAAACGCCAGACTGCTGCTAGCACCATTATAATTTGAGCTTTCTGGAAATGCGCATGGAGCGCTAATGTGAGTGTCCCACGTGATGTGGTGGCATTTGTTAACTCGGCTAAACCCCATACCTGTTCAACCTTCATGCACAGAAATTATCAAAACTACCCGTCCTCTTGTCTCTCTGTAAATTCCTTATATATTATTTCTTTCAGATTTATTATCTCAATGTTTCAAAATGAATCCCTTCTAGTGATTCATGAATGATTTAATCTCCAGTTGAACTAGATGAATGAAGACATCATTTTTGTATAATTAAAATCAGATCTGAGCTCCACGATAAATTGACAAAATTGAAACTAAATAAAACGAAAACTTTTGAGGCTGACAGTAGACGTTAATGTTCGTTGAAACGATTATTCGTTTTGTTTTAAAAAAAAAAAAAAAATGACACGTCAGTGGATTACAAATGTGGAGTTTGTGAAATGAAATTAAATTATTTTAAGACATAAATTGAACATTGTTACAGTTCCATAAAAGTTAAGGTATCCATTCTGACATAAGGTTTTGCAAACAGGCTTAGTCTATTATGTTGTCTCATTCAGTACTGAACAACTCATGATACGTTTGCTGGAAAACCCTGCTTTTTAGAATCCTTAATTCTGTACGTTCTCCGTAATGAAGGTTTGCTACAGTGTGCCCACCCATGGCTTTGTGAATTTATGTAGCTAAACTACAATATTTTTGACGGTGTGACTCTTATACTTATACAACTGTATAATTTTTTGGAGGGGTCTTTTTGTGTGTTAAATAAAGGTAAAGGTAAACGTGAGAGGGCCGACTTCATTGCACCATATTGTATCCCATATTGCTCGGTCTCCCTCTGCAAAGCAGCTAGCTGCCTGCCGAGACTGTCGCACATAGCATGACCTCCGTAGCTTCGGCGACGATCCCTAGGCATGTTCGTCAAAATTAAATAAAAATTAGATTGTGGAAATCGAATCCTAGTGCTGGAAAATCATAAAATTTTTTAATACATTCACCAATCTCTAGGCCACATGCTTACCTTGACGTCTTGTATCCCTGCTAGTTGTCAGTCCCACAATGAATCCTAATTGTATCATGAAAAGTAAATAAAAAGAAGAACCAGTTAATTTCACAATATCGCTAACCCAAAAGAAAAGTGAACGTTGCCTTCATCAGCACATTGCATGAATATTTAAAACAACTAATGCAAACAAGAATATATAGTAGTAAGTAAGTAAGTTAGTTAGTCATTACGGTTCCTTCATCGCAGCAAACGAGCTTAACCCATAATTGCTCAACCGCCTATGCCAGTGATTACAGAATATATAAAGTCACACAACTGAAATATCTCCACGAGAAATCACAAGTCTGTATCGCCAGTAGAATGCCTGACACGTGTGTAGCAAACGGAAGTAAATACTGGCAATTAAAAACAAATAAGACATGAATAATAAATAAAAAAAATATATACATTAAAAAAAAAAGGTTTCGTTAAAATTAGTTAAAATTACGACTGACTGGAAAGTTTAAAAAAGAAAAAAAAAAAAAAAAAAAAAAAAAGGAAAAGACCCCCTTTATCCCAAAGGCGCACACGATGCTGGATCCTTATTTCTGCAGACAGATCATTACTTGGTGGTCGATGGGTCAACATCCACACGGAGACGGATTTGTTCCCTTAAAAATGTAATTAGGTTCCCAGGTTGATGCAGGCTAAAATGACTACCGCGAAATGTCCAAGGGCAGGGGCTTCAACCTTCCTAATGCCGCGACCTTTTAATATAGTTCCCTCATGTTGTGGCGACCCCCAGATAACTATTTTCATTAATAACTTCAATGATTGTGTGTTTTCCTATGGACTAAAGGGACCCCTGTGAAAGGGTCGTCCGACCCACACACAAAAAATGGTCGCGACAGGCAGGTTGATAACCTCTGTCCTATGGAATCAAGACATTCATCGTGATGCTGAACACATAACCCACCGAGTATCGATTGCTCTATAAACTATGACTTCAGCATCATGTTTCCCATACGCTACTAGCGTAAAAAGGGTCATTTACTTTTACTTAAGGAGTTGCTGTGGTGTAGCGGCTAGACACTCCTTGTGGATCTGAAGGTCGTTGGTTCAGGTCCCGAGGTAACCTTGACTCCCAGGTCGACCCAGCCTTAAATGGGTACCAAGTGAGCGTCCTGGGAAGTAAACTCGGAAGGTGTGATGTTGACTACATCACCCAGCAAGTGCCGAATTAGTCTACCAAATATAGGTCTAGCCCTATATGCCTAGTTCACCTGAAGGAGTGGAAAAGGCTCCTTGATCAACTTAAACTTATTCTATGTTTCCCCAGGTTGTCTACTTCACAGCCATATTCCCATATCTGATGTTAACCGTCTTATTGGTCCGAGGTCTGACGCTGGAGGGCGCTGCCAAAGGGATCGTCTATTATGTTAAACCGGACTTCAACCGGCTTGCTGATCCTAGGGTCAGTTTTCTCCTTTCTGATTCTCCATTTGCCTTCTTCTGATTTATTCCTCCCCCTCCTCTTACCACCACCTCCTCTTCATCTTTTTGCTGCCTCCTTTTCATCCTCCTTCCTTCTGCTGTCTTCTCTTCATCCTCCCTCCTTCTACTATCTTCTGTTCATCCTCCCTCCTACTGCTATATTCTGTTCATCCTCCCTCCTACTGCTGCCTCCTTTTCATCCTCCCACCTTCTGCTGCCTCCTTTTCATCCTCCCTCTTTCTGCTGTCTTCTCTTCATCCTCTCTTTCTGCTGCCACCTTTTCATCCTACCTCCTTCTGCTACCTCCTTTTCATCCTCCCTCCTTCTGCTGCCTCCTTTTCATCCCCCCTCTTTCTGCTGCCTCCTTTTCATCCTCCCTCCTTCTGCTGTCTTCTTTTTATCCTCCAACTACCATTTCCTGCTTCTTTGTCCTCCTCCTCCTTGTTGTCCCCCCCCCCCCCATTTTTTTAACTCTTCTGTGTAATATGGGTATTATTATTAATATTGTTCTTGACCTGTACAACATTACATTTAAATATTATTTTGTTTTAGTCTTCTGTGGAATATTTAAATCTCGTCATTTCAAACTTATGAAATATATATTTGTATGCGTTGTGTTTTATATATTGTCGTTGTTGTGTTGATAAGGTCTAATCACCACAACGTCTTATTTGTTCATTGTAATATGGCTTTTATAAAGCTGACACATACTTTATGTTTTTCTTACCATTTCCTATCTCCTAAGACATCCCATCTCTGCTGTTACGATCTTCCGCTCATTAGTAAGGCCTTGTACGGAGGAAAAGAACAGCTTGTGAAAACATGCAAATTCCACTACATGGCATTGGGCCAAAGGGCGAAAGCTCATGCGCCGCTGGATCGATAACAACAACAACAACTCATTAGTAAGGATCCATGTTTGGCACTGGTTGCACAATGACTACATAAGAATATTATGTACACAACCATGAATGTTTGTATGGCTGTCTTTATTGTTCATATCTCCCACAATAAACTATTTTCTTTTTTACCCTTTTTCTTCTCTTCCCTATAATTTCCTATCCGTGTTTTTTTTTTAAACAGGTCTGGAGTGATGCGGCCACGCAGATCTTCTATTCATTGAGCGCTTGCTCGGGCGGCTTGATCGCCATGAGCAGCTTCAATCAAGTTCACCAACAACTGCCACCGCGACGCCATCATCGTGGCTTGCCTCAACAGCTCTACGTCCATCTTCGCGGGCTTTGTGATCTTCTCCATCCTCGGCTTCATGGCTCATGAGAAAGGTGTCGAGGTTGGCGACGTGGCTAAAGGAGGTGAGGCATCTGTTGGGTTCAGAAATATGATTGACAATTATCTTTTCTCCTTGTGGGTTTTCAGCAGAGGCGTAGGAAGGGGCGTGTGCAGGCAGAGTTGTTTTATCATTATGGGCCGCTGGTAAACATTGTGCTGGGGCCCTAACGACCGCATCCTGCTGGAATGAATTGTTTTATATTTATGGCTAGTCACTTGACGTACACCGATTAGCATGGGGCCTCTACTGAGTTTAATAGCGCCCCCGCCGAGTTCCCAGCAAATCCATGCATTAAGACGGCCCTGGGTGGTGGTGTAGGGACGAGGCCCTCACTGGGTGTCTTCAGTGCGGGAGAAGGGTGACAAAATGGCTCCCCCAAAAAAGTGTTTTCAACATTAAATAATGTGTTAGTGTGTGTGTGTGTGTGTATGTGTGTGTGTGACCCACAATTTTCTGCTCCGTGTACTAGCTCACCTTGCAATACTATTGGTTCTGCGACGACTCATTTGTGTGAAGAAAAAAAAGAAAAAAAAATAGACTCATCAACCGCATTACAAGCATGTCGTAAAAGACAACTAATTACCGGTTTGCCAAAATCGGATGTTTTAGGCTGAAAGGGGCAGAAACTGCAACCTTGCTGTAAACCACAACACAACTTGCCAATTGCCCTTTCAAGGGCGACCGCAGAGGATGAGTTTATTCGCCAAGCGATGACATGTCGGCGTCTGTGGCTTAGGCGTTGCCAACACGCTTCGTAATGTCGGGGTGCCGGGTTCGATCCCAGCTACGGACGGTTTGTCTTGCTTTGGTTTCGACAGTAGTATCGGGAGCTGACCGTTCAGTCGGCAGTGGCAAACTACTGAATGTAACATTTGCCTAGAACAGTGATTCTCAACTTTCCTAATGCAGTAACCCTTTAATTTAGTTCCTCATGTTTTGGCGACCCCCAACCGTACAATTATTTTCGTCGCTACTTTATAACTTCAATGAATATTTGTTTTGCGACGTTCTTTGGCTACCCCTGTGCTAAGATCGTTTGATAACCTCCCCCCCCCCCTCCCCCACCCCTAAAAAGGGTCGTGACCCATAGTCTGAGAACCGCTGGCCTAGAAAAACACAACAGCCAACAGATGCTGGTGTTGTTTCAGCAACGTCCTGTAAAGGATACGTGGCTGTCTAGCTGATATTTATTCGGTATCTGTGGAGGCGGGGTTCTGAACATAGTTTCGTAATTCCGAATTACCAGGGGTCGAAGACAACTTCAGGCAATTTGAAGCAATTACATTTGCTTTTGTTTCGAAAGTTTGTGCGTCAACCGTTCATAGACAATTGTTTGTTAGAAAACCTGTTTACTTTACTACTCTCACATTCCACCGCTGGTTAGATGTAACTGTCAAGTAAAAGTCAATGACCCTTTTCCACGCCTTTAGGCACATTAGGCATATAGGGCTAAACCAATCTCCACTTGGTGGGTGATGTGGTCATCATCACGCCGGCCACCTCTACTTCCCAGGACTGCACCTGGTACCCACTCAAGGCTGGGTCAACCTGGAAGCCAGGTTCATTTTTAAGAAAGCCTTCGTCGGGACCTTAACCCACAATCTTCCTATCCACAGGCAAGCGTCTAGCCGCTACGCCCCAACTGTAAAGTACACTTGTCTTCTGCGACTGAACCCGGTTTATGAGATTTGCTTCTGATTTATTTTAAATATGGTGAGCTCGTGGACGGTATTAGGAGAGACGAAGCGTACACAGTAAAACTCTTCGTCGTCGAGGTAGGCGCAAAAGGTCTTTTCTCCACTTCCACGTACAATGTGCTCAAGCCAGTTGGGTTTGCGAGGAAACGAGCGGAAACAGTCACTAAAACAATTGGGCGAAGCTGCTGAAAGGGCTTCGAGTTGGCTCTAGACGCAACGGAACGTTGTGGGGGAAGGGCCTCGGCAGACTGGTCCGAGTCCCTAGTGGAGAGGAACTTCTTATCCCTTAAAGCCAAAGTGCCCGAGAAGTGTCTGCCGGTGTCTCTGTGCCAAATGCCAAAGTCTAACACCTGTCTGATGAACTACCATAAGCTTGTCACTCTGGTTGTGAAGATAGACGGCTAATTTGCTACCGCCAAAATCTCACAACATCTGTTGCAAAGTCACCATATCGTCTTGTCCCTGTCCGAGAGTCCGACTGAGTGCAGCAGGGGATGATCGAAGCCTGGCTTAATGACCCAGGTCGGTCCACCTTCTGAGATTGTATAGGAAGCAACGGGCCGAAACAATCGTCGACGACGGATCTTTCTACTGTTGATCAGTGGACCCCTACAGTTCATGCTCCTCTGTGTTCTTCACATTATTACATCCTTGCGGTGCTATTCCTATGAGATATACATCCTGGATAAGAACAATCATAGCTGCCATCACTAAAAGATTTAGTCTTTAAGACTTGTTTCAAAAGTTGCTTTTAAAGACGTTTCTTTCAGTCTTGTCTTTAAGACCTGTTTCAAGACTTGCTTTTCAAAAACCTTTACAATCTCATCTTTAAGACTTATTTCAAGACTTGCTTTTAAAGACGTTTTTTTTTTTCAGTCTTTATTAAAAGAATTATTTCAAGACATGCTTTAAAAAAAAATTACTTTGAAATTTGTCTATACGACCTGTTTTAAGACACTTTTAAAGACTTTTTGTGAGTCTTGTTTTTAAGACTTGTTCCAAGACACGCATTTTAAGACGATTGTCATACGTGTTTTAAAGATTATAGTAAAGACATTTTTAGGGCTTTTAAAAACAAACACTTGTTTGAACCTGCAGGTCCCGGACTTGCCTTCGAAGTTTACCCTGAAGCCCTGTCTCGGATGGTAGTGGCTCCAATGTGGGCAGTCTTCTTCTTCCTGATGATGGCCACCCTAGGATTTGGCTCCCAGGTAAGTCATGTGCAGTTTTAGAGCTGGATAACAGCTGTACTAGACATCATAGATCTTAGTTTCACCTGTGACAGGTAAAAGATGCTGGGGTCGGCGTCTACTTCAAAAGAAGTGAGAAAATAAAGGCGGAGACGGATGTACAATTAGACAAGTTGATGACTGGTACAGTTGGAATTGGAACTCTTCGCTTGCTGCTGAAAGTGGGGAACGGAGCGCATTATGGAAGTGTCCCTAGTCCTGTAATGTCAATTCTTAATTCAACATTAATTAAAGTATGCAAGCCAGACATTAGTTATACAGGTATTGAGGGAGATTTGTTGGAACAAAATGACAAGAACCATGTTGTGTGCACAAAAAAATGGGGATGGAGGGGGGGGGGGGGGGGGGGGACAGGGGGGGGGAAAGCAGGGAAAGTAAGAAGAAGGAAAAGGGGGGGGGGGGGTAAAGACAACTGCACATAGATTGAGAGCTGGGCCTGTGAGAAGAAGCAGATTACATACATGTAAAATCAACAGCTGTCTTAACATCCTACGCCCTAGTTGTGGAAGATTTTATTTAGGGCCGACAGGTAATGCTAGTCACACTCGCCATCGCCATGGGATGTGATTCCTACGCCTTCTCGTAACACTCGTCTAATCTCACCTTGATCCTCTGGTACCTTGCAGTGTCGAGGTGAAGTCTAATTTACAGAAAAGTGCCCATGTATGCCCTTCGTAAATGGGAATTCCCAGGGACTCTGTAATTCCCTCTGTCCATAGGCTGCATGGTCGGCCTCTTCTTCACTTCCCACCTGGTCTGTATAAAATTGCTTGTTGTGGTATACTGTTTTTTTTAATCATGATATGGGGCGTCGCAGGTCGACCCAGCCTAAAATGGGTACCAGGATGTATGTCATGGGGAAGTAAAGACGGCCGGCGTAATGCTGACCATATTATCCACCTAGTGCCGATTGGTCTGTAAAAATATGGGTGCTTTTCCCACATGCCTGATGTGCCTAAAGGCGTGAAAAGAGATCTTTATTTTTATTTTACCTATATGCCCCAAAACGACTAAAGGCATACTTTACTTTCTTAAGTCCCATACCTTCTCCATCGTTCATACAAGTGACGTAAATGCGTTGTGCTGCTTACAGGATAGTTACAACATTGAGCTTTTCGGCCGACACATCCAACTTCTTTATGCATTTATTATCTGGGTTAGCCCTCTGATATATCATCATCCTTAGGCTCAACGTCAACATTCTCATCTACTTTCAGTTCTCAATTGTGGAGTGTGTGATGAGCGCCACGTTGGACGAGTTCCCGCAGCTCCTGACATCAACAAAAACCACCCTTGCCTTTCGATTCTGTGTGGTTTTGGTCTCATTTGGCCTGGGCCTTCCAATGGTCTGCAATGGTGGCATTTATCTCTTGGAGTTGGTGGACTACAGCGTGGGTGGTTTCCCGTTGTTGATCGTTGGTATTGTAGAGCTCATAGCCATCAACTGGATTTATGGTGAGGCATCCATCCGTTTTTTCATCATCATAATTACTACCCACATTTTCATCATCATCATTACCACCCACATTATCATCGCCATCAATACCACCCACATCATCATCATCATTATTATCAATGTCATTCTGACTATTATCACTAAGTATTATTATTATTATCATAATTATTACAAAAATGTAATAATTCTAAATTATTCAAACAATGCAAACACAAGCAATAGATTGCACAAATTATTTCCTATGCATGCTCTGCCGTATCTTGTCGGATTCATTACTATAGAGTTATAACAAAAAAATAATGAATTACAAAAACCTAATAAATTCTACCCAAATACAGATGGTTTTTCTCTTGATACATTGTGTTAATCAAATCGTCAGGGAGTTCATGATAGTCATGTGATTTACTAATAAAACATACAATTTATTACGAATTCCTTCTGTTCACAAAAGAGCTTTTTTTTTTTTTTTTTTTTTTAAATTTATTATTAAAGCTAGTCCCTGCATTTCATGTTCAGTGTGTGGTAAATCACAGGGAACGCGCTGTCCTTATCAATTACATGTACAGAAACAATATAATGGCATCATTATCATCATCAAGATCAACAACTTGACCATCAACATCATCATCACTCTCACGTACACATCATCATCATTATTACGGTAAACATCATTATTATCACCATCACCACAAACATCATCATCATCATTACGGTAAACATCATCATCATCATTACGGTAAACATCATCATCATCATTATTACGGTAAACATCATTATTATCACCATCACCACAAACATCATCATCATCATTGGTAAACATGATTATCGCCATCACCATAAATATCATCATCACTGTAAAGATCATCACCATCATCATAAACATCATTGTTATCAATATTATCATAAAGGTTATAGAAGAAAGGAAACTACATCTAACTCCTGTCTGCAACGCTTTATGGCATAAGCAGTAGGGCAACAATAAAAAAAAAAAAAATAAGCATTACAACATGTCCTCTCACAATACTGCCGGAAGCAGTATCTAAACAGGACACATTTCAGAGGTCCCCGGTATTAAGCGTCATTTGGATATTCACTCCGGGGTATGCAAGCCTATTGTGAAGAGCAGGCAGACATCCTGGCTAGAGCTGCAACCTGAGTGGTGGAAGTGATTCCTCTTCTTCTGTTCGTTCTCTCTGCCAGTGGATTTCTGATGAAAAGGCCAAGGGTCTCTATGAAGTCAGTGGTGCGACCCATGTCTTCCAACATTCCATACAGCTTGGTTTCTATTGGAATAACTGGCGAAATGTAGGATCTCCCTACTGCATGTAGAGAGTATGACTGTAGCAAAAGTTCAGTATTCTGTTGTGCCTGTCTTCATAGGCAATGTTCTAAGCCCCCCAGTTTTGAGTGCCTGTCTACATGGGCAAAGTTCTAAACACCCCCTCCCCCCTAAGTCTTGAGTGCCTGTCTACATGGGCAAAGTTCTAAACACCCCCCCTCCCCCCCCAAGTCTTGAGTGCCTGTCTATATGCGCAAAGTTATAAACCCCCAGGCTTGAGTGCCTGTCTACATGGGCAATGTTCTAAGCCCCCCAGTCTTAAGTGCCTGTCTACATGCGCAAAGTTATAAACCCCCAGGCTTGAGTGCCTGTCTACATGGGCAAAGTTATAAACCCCCAGGCTTGAGTGCCTGTCTACATGGGCAAAGTTATAAACCTTTAGTCTTGAATTTATTACACATATGGCTGCAGAGTTTGTTGTCTCCAGTATACAATATGAATGACAAGCTAGATTTGATGTCCTGCAGGAGCAAGTGAACAATGCATAAATGTGAATCGATATTTACGATCTGGAGGGAATGGTGTGGCGGGGAATGACAAAAGCAGTGAACTTTTACAAATGTGCATTTACAAACTGCTTTTGTTTGCAGGTTTCAAAAATTTCTGGAGCGACATCGAGATGATGGTTGGAGACAAGCCGAAGATCTTCTGGAAAGCTTGCTGGACCGTGATCTCGCCACTGGTTATTTTGGTACACATTTTATACTGTTGAAACAAACTATTGTGTGGATAACTTTAATTATCTAGATTTTGCTTTGTTCACAAATTTATATTTGTTCATACATTTCCCCAGTTTTGTTTTCACAGTAATGCATCTTTCTTTATAATTGTGTTAATCTGTCTTTATTTACTCTCATGTTTGTCTGTTTATACATTAATACATCTTTCTGTGAAGATGGTCTGCTCGGTCTTGACCTCACTGGATGCTGATTGGTGTTTAAAAATATGAGACTAGCATCATGTGCCCTTTGTTTTTTACCTAAACACATTCAGTAAATAATATTTCTGTGAATCTATTATTTTATTATGATAATTTTTAAAAAATATACTTTACAGCTATTTAAGTGCGACACAAACTAACTAGAAAGCTAAATGGAGGAAATGGAAAAGCCATGCACAGATACAATTGAGCGGTTTTGACAAGCCTTTATCAACAGAGTACTAAATAACAATGCAAGCAGAGACCAGAAAACTCAAAGGACAATACACAAGAGCTTATAAACAAACAAGATCAACATAAAACCTGAAATTATTAATAGTAAAAAATATGAGCATGAGGGACTATGTTATGAACAAAACATGATACTTGTAAACAGAATTATTGAAAAAAAATACTTTATTTTCAGGTAACTATAATTTTGAATGCAGTATTTTATAAAGAGCCCACCTATAATGGCCTCCCATATCCGCAGTGGGTCAAATCTTTGGGCTGGATGATAGTCATGTTTCCAGTATCCATCATTCTTGTCTGGTTTATGTATTATTATTGCAAGAAAGGTGGATTCAGGGTAAGTCTGATTTTCAGTTTTATTTCTCTTCTTAATTTTAATTTTGAACAGAGTGAATCGCACTTAGTTGTGCTTCCACTATGGTGCTTTTGAGATGTAGTTTACATGTTTTGCTGCAAAAAGGTCATGGGAAGTAAAGGTAGCTGGGGTGATGTTGACCACATCACCAAACGAGAGCCAGTTTTTTCAAGAAATGTGCCCGGCTCTCTAGCGTAGATGGCTAAACCGGATTGCGCGGTGACCGGGTGACGAACTTCTTGTGGTCCGGGTTCACTCCCGGGGTAGGCAGAAAAGCCACATTTCTCTTTCAGATTTTCGGTATTTACAATGGAATCAAGGCCGAAAGGTTGCGATATCCATAATACCGAGCCTAAGGGTTAACAACTCATGGCTTCTGGATACTAAAACAAACAAACATCTAAGAAATGTGAGTCTAGTTCTCAATGCCACTGATGGAAGAAAAACTTATTACTGATTTAGGAGTCATATCACAGCACACAGGGCATACCCATAGATGCTTCACCTGCCGCAGCAATGCGGCAAATTCCTTTAAGTGTAGATGCTAACTGTTCCCGTGGCTCATTGATTTTACACACATCATTCTCTTCCTCTCATAGATCCCTCCTTGCCGGATCTACTCCTAATTCCTTGTAAAGGTAGAGTCTGTTCAGCAAGTAAATTGTAAAGACAGTTGCTAACACCTAAGACCAGTGGTATACTCAGTCTCAACCTATTCGCCCTTAGTCCTCGGCTTAGTATCACCGCAGTCGAGTTTCCCCATACTTGCTCTGTTCCTGTGCTAGTGTAAATCAAATGATTTGTCCTGTTCACCCTGTAAGAATCTTGTAACATATTTTTTTTAAATTTCGTTAACAAATATTCATCCTTATAAATCACTGAGACTATCCTAAGTAACTATAAAAAAATAAAAATAAATTTTGAGTCTCTTTATATAAATGCCTGGGGGGTTGACCCCTGAACAACCGGCAAGACAGGCAGGCATGGTCCTCTGCTTCTTAGTTGACACCAGGTCACTTAAAAAAAAAAAACATGTTGTCACTAAATGCCTAAATTGGGAAAAGCGTTGTTTAGCTAAGGGTATGTAACCATTAAATACAAAAGAAATAATTCACTGATTTCCTTCTCTTTAACCATTGTAAAGAGGTGTTTCTTACTTTGCCACAGAGAGCAATGTGATTTAATAATGAAATTATAAGATGCCTCAGGGAATCCACAATTTTGAAATATCTATTTTTCACTCCAAATTTCATCTAAACAATTTTTGGGGGTAAATTTAATCAGATCCATCACGTGTACACACCATACAGTTGTAGCCATTACCAAAACTACTGCATATGTGTACTGGGCACTGTCCAAATACATGCCCATGTAGGCGAGAGCTAAGTAAACCCCCAGTTTCACTTGAGTGCATGTTTCATGGCCAATACCCTCCATCTACAGTTTGTTGTGTTGTGAAACAGCTCTGGCCAGGATACCTGGGAACTGCACATTTTGTAACTAGTTACACCAGCATCGTTCAGCAAGCTGATATCCCGTTGCTTGGATCCATGTGATATATGTGTACAAGGCAAACACCAGTGAGCTAGACTGGTGGTTACTGTCCCAAATGTTTATAAAAATCTTGACGTAAGAAAAAAAAAAATAGACATAATGTCAAGTAAAAGCCAGAAAAACGGCTCTCTTGGAAAAAAAGGGTTGAATTATTGATTGCCATGTGAAAAGAGGGAGTGGTGGTGGTGCAGCAGCTAGACGTTCATCTCCGACACTAAGGTCCTAGGTTCGAACCCACAGCCAGTAAACTTTTTTTTTCTTTCAAAAATGACCTTGGCTCCAAGGTTGACCTAGACTAAAATCAGTACCAGGTAAGGTAGTGGGAGGTAAAGGTGGTCGGCATCAAGTTAACTAAATCACCCACCAAATGCTGTTTGCTCTATACAAAATATGAGCCTAACATGATATGCAGGACTCGTCTCTGGTATAGAAAGTGTCCTTTTCTAATGTTTTGAAAAGGTTCGCTACAAAGGGCCATCTAGCCCACTATTCCTAGGCTTATCCGCAATCTAGAACATCAAAGACTCAAACAGTTTAGTCATCTGGTCAGAATGGAACAAAATTAGCCAGCAGCTAGAGCGTACTTCATGAGAATAACAGTCTACAAGACAAGAGGCCAGCCAAGAAAGAGAGGGGTAGAAGAAGTTAAAAACAAAGCTTTACGGCATAAACAGTAGGACAAAAGCCAGGAAACTACATCTAACTCCACTCTACGACGCATTACAGTGTAAGCAATAAGACAACAGTTAACCGATGACTGTTCAGGTCAACATCACATGGGCGTATTTACCACCAGTGCATTAAAAAAAAAAAAAACTAAAGTGAATTTTAAGTCAAGACCTTCTGACTTTACTGTGGATTTTATTGATTATTTAATACGCTTAATAAAATCCTTGCAGGGTTTATAAGACAAGAATGGATTGTATCACTAAGCACTTTGTGAACTGCTGGATTTATGCACAAGCCAACTAAGCCGCAGCTTAGGGCTTTCAGATATGCAGGGGACTCAACTAATTCTCTTTTTTCCCCACAATTGCAATTTTCTTTTAATGTTTTAAATGCAGTTTTCTTTTTATAGAGCAAACACATTATTTTTTTAATACTGTTTGTTGTTTACATTCTATGGCTGTAAACACCCGCGGAAAGATCTGGTTGTTCGTCCATTTCTGGGAATTGGCTTTGTTCCAGGACCTGAGTTTTGCATGTGAATCCGTTTTACAGACCTTGCTTATTTGTATACAGACTGTTGGTTCCTTGCCTCTCAGGCAGATACACTCCAACTTCGAAGGAAGCTCCCAAATAGTTTCTTTTACGACATGCTTAGTGGGGAGGCAGTGGGTCTATTCTTGTTTTACCCACAATGAAACCCTGGAACCCATACAAAGATTGTTTTTTAAACTGTAAATTAAATCACAATATATTTCAATTATCCATATTTTAAAAAGGTGTTTATATTTTAATTTCCGAGACTAGCTGGTGAAAACTGAAAAGGTGCTTCATGAAGCTTAAGGCTTCATAGGTTTTAAATCTGGCCCCCGCTGGCCTAACCTTCACCTATGTGCCGGGATATGCGGGTGTTCGACGCAACGAGAGTGCAGATGATCTTGCAGACATTGCAGCTGCTATGGCTGGTCCGGTAATGGAAGAAGCGACATTGTCAATGCCATGTGCAGCAAGTACTGTGAAGACCAGCAAGGCAAAGGGCATGACTCCGTATCAGTGACCATGCTGTTGGTCATGGAAGTGCGACTTGGAGCTGCGGGAAATAAGAATTTCCCCATGTGGGCAAAATTTTTAAAAAAGAATTAAGGATCCTTTTTTGCACCTTTAAGCTCATCAGGCACTCTTATTTTTACAGACCAATTGTCACTAGGTGGGTAATGTGGTCAGCATTACGCCGGCCGTCTTTACTTTTCTAGGACATACATCCTAGTACCCATTTTAGGCTACCATGGGGACAAGATGGTTAAGTAATTAACATAGAACAGGCGTCATCAGTGTTTTTGTGCTTGTGATGCTTTTGAGGAGATCAGAGCACCTTTGTATCTGTCTGGAGTGCTGCGATGATAACCCTCAGTTAAAAAAATTAGTAGCGTATCCTTTACAGGATGTTGGAAAACCAACCCCAGCATTTTCGGCTGTTGTGGCAAGTTTACGTCCAGTTGTTTGCTATTGCTTTATGGATGGTCGGCTTCTCGATACCACTGTTGAAACCAATGCAAGGCGCAAGGCTGGCAGCTGGGATCGAACCCGGCATTACGAAGCCCATTCGCAACCCCTAAGCCACAGACGCTGACATCCTCAACAAACATGTATTAATTATTTTTCTTTCTTTATTGCAGCTACTAAGAATGCGCAGCATGCCCCTGCCCCACTGGGGCCCAGCCTTAGCGACCCACAGAAAAGACAGGTACTCCCCCGAAAGGTTAAGTCAGCAGAACTTTGGGACACTAGAATACCAGCTTGGAGACAAAATTTACCGAAGCCATTTAAGTGTACATGAAATTGCCAGTCTTTTAGCGGGCAGTACCACCACTATCAACACTCTGAACTCTCAACATAATTCTCGCCAGGTGTCCAGATATCCATCCACATCCACTTTAGGGATGAACCCACCTTTCACATTTGGAGAAATGACACCACAGAATGAAACACCGACACAGACACCGCAGGGCTCTGTTTGGGGTAGCAAGACATCCATGCAGTAAAGACACTATTGGGTTCTGTCTGAGGTTTCGAGGACAAAGTTGAAAGCAGGAGTTAACTGTCTATAGCCCGTTTGAAAAGTTGTGCCCTCAAAAATATTTTGAAAACTCCTGCATGGATTAACACAAATTTTTGCAAAAGGTCTTACATTTCCAATATCCTTATGATTTTATAATTTACAAATTTAAAGGTACTACTGTTTCTTAAAGTGGCAAATTTATGTGACCTTTGTGGGTCTTAAAGTTTGTGTACAATTAAAAAATGGAGAATAGTGTGTTAGCCTATCCTGCATACAATGAAATATTGTGTCCATCTAATTTATTTGAGGCTAATGCAGGAGACTAATCACCTGAGAGTGAAACACCATGTTCTTGCATGGATTACCTCTAAAACATGTGCAATTTGATGTTTTGGCAAGTTCATACCACTCTGTTACTGTAAACATGCTAACCGAATGCTTTTGAATCGGTGTCTGTTTTTCACATACCACTAAACAAGCAAAACAAAAACCTTATCTCTGTTTACATTATCATTATTTTCCTACAAGGGCATGATTATTAACAGGTAATATGCCAAATTTCAACAATTTAAAACTAAACAGTTACTGAGTTTTAGATTGTTAAAGTTGGTCACAACTTCTGAAACAGACTATAATTGTTTAGTATCAAAGAAATATTGCAAAAGTTATTCAGTGGGTCAACATTGTAAGCCTGCCAAATTTTATTTATCATTATCATCACAAGCCACGCCGATAACTCCAGAATTACATATCATGTCAGCCCAGCCATATGGTAAAGACATCAACGTATTTATCTCTTTGCCTTCCCCTTGCTATCTTTCTTACCAAAATGGCCAGTTGTTACCAAGTTTTTGACTCCATTCCTTCTCATAAAATGTCTGGAAAAAAAAAACACTGACTGCCTGTGTCTCATTTTTCAAGTCAGTTTATGACTTGCATTCATCTCTAGGAGGCCTGCCTTATTTGTGTTTTCACCATTCCATGATATTCTTTGGATTCTCCTTAAAAATGACATCTTCACTTCAAGTAAATGATTATCTATACACATCACTTACTAAAATGAAATAATCTGAGCCTTTAATAAAGTTAATGCTTTGTTATATGGTTAACAAGACCATACACTGTACTTTAATCAATTCACTGTGCCCTTCAAATTTTTCTGCATGCTACTATTGGTAATTAAACCACTGAACTGTGACTAACAAGCTTAATAAAAGGTGGAAGGAGAACAATGTGCTCAAAGACAAAGCAAGGTTTCGGCCAGGGCCTTTCTCAACATCAACTACACAACAATAACAAAGGGGAGAGTATTCCTACCACCAGCACCCACCAGGGGGGTAACATGAAAAACTATAAAAAGGTGATGTGGAATGAATTGAATAAAATAGAATAAAGAAAGGCTAAAAAATTGTCGTAAAAGTCTAGCGATTCACCGCAAGACTGTTTTAAAAAACTGCTACTGCTGCTTTAAAAAAAATATATTCATACTTGAGATTACATCATAAAAGACTGATATCCAGTGAGTCTTTCAGAGAATATTTGCATGAAAAAAACAACAACAACAAAAGGAGCAGATTCCATAAATTCTGTTCAACCATTTAAAAGTTATATTGGGGTCACCCTACTATTACCCTCAATGTTCGGATCATGTAAGATGTTGACATTCTTTTTTTTTGTTCTTTGTCCGTGGTATTCTAACAGTGGTTCTGTAACATTTCAGTTGGAAGGCACCATTATGTTTCTTCACTGACCAAGTATGAGTCCATAACTCCCATTCATATGCTATCCTGCCCTTCTAAACACTGCGCAGGTGCAAACAGAACTAATGCCATTAACTAGGCTTGTTCAATTGGTTTTTCAGATCTTGTAAAGTAAAAGTAAAGGATCCTTCTCCACGCCTTCAGAGGTACTGGACATAAAAACCAATTGGCACTTAGTGGGTGATGTCAACATGATGCCAGTGGCCCTTACTTCCCAGGACTTTACCTGGCACCCATTTAAGGCTGGGTCGACCTGGAAGCCAAGGTCATTTTGGAAAAAGACCGGCACCATCACAACCTTCCAATCTGCAGGCGAGCATCTTGCTGCTACACGTCGGCTGCCTCTTGCAGATGTGCCATAAAGTATTTGTTTAGCTTCATAATAAGTAGGTCTCTTCTGTTTCTTCATATCAGTAATTACCCTTCTGGAACACCAGTTGCAAAACCTCACTACTAATGTAGATATCTTGTCCCCCCCCCCTCAAGACGAATTTAAAAACAACAGTGAAACCTAATATGCTGTTCATGATCTCTGCAATGTATATAAACATTAAATTTACTATAATGATCACACATTTTCACGTTTTATTCTGTTATTTTATTAATGCCGACATGCATTCACATTATGAAAATAACCAATTAACCCTTTTGTCGATTGCTTCACTGAAAAATAAATACAAAATTAATGAGCATGTGGAAACTCCTGGAAAAATCCTTTTAAAAAAAAAACCCCACATTTTAGACAAATCACTAATAATGCTTTTACAAATGTATTTATTTACATTTTTTCTCTCTAAAATAAAGAGATCAATAAAAAGGGTAATCAATAAATATGAACAGGGTGAAACACGAAAATACACCCCCTTTGACCTGAAACAAAATATATATATATATATATATCAAGTGACTCATGCTGTAACCTCTATCACTGAGGCTCCCATAAAATTTTACATCAACTGGTCTTATGAAAAAAAAAAATCCAACAAGGTCAAAGGAAATGTTATCTTAGTTACTATATTTAGATCCTAACCTATTGTTTGTTTTAGTATCCAGAAGCCATGAGTTGTTAACCCTTAGGCTCGGTATTATGGATATCGCAACCTTTCGGCTTTGATTCCATTTTAAATACCGTAAATCTGGGATAAATGTGGCTTTTCTGCCTACCCCCGAGAGTGAACCCGGACCACAAGGAGTTCGTCACCCGCTCACCGCGCAATCCGGTTTAGCCAACTACGCTAGAGAGACGGGCATCCTAACCTATTAAAAAACTGTGCAGGCGCACACAGAACCAGTGGAATTTAACTACGTTTTAGAGAACAGGTCACTGCAGGCATGGCTGATATTTCGGCATTTAAGGCAATGTGGCACAACCGGAAGTTACTAGATTTAGTCTTCTCAGGACGACAAGAGAGGAGAATGGCGCTGCAGGGAGTTACCAGGGTATCTGGCTGACGCTCAACCCTCAAGAAAAGGCTGAGACGAACATCAAGACAGGTACTGGTACCATCGGAATTAGAACTCTTCGCTTGCTGCTGAAGATGGGGACGGAGTGCTTATGGGGGTGTCCCGAGTGCTGTGATGTTGATTCAATATTTGAGGGTTAATGGGTCATAATTTATACACGAAGACGCAGTTAAACCAATATTCTCACAAGCAGCAATGGTGAACACATTTGCAGTCCTTAGTTAACACGTTTTTGGTTTAGCTGACCTGACCTGACCTACAACAATGAAGTGCACAAATCCTCAGAGGAAGACGTGCAACCGCTTTCTCCCATTTCGACAATTTGTAATCAGCTATTGTCCATATGTATCAAGCAACATATACTGTGCTTTACATACTTTATATTTGATCTAAGTGTGTTAAAAGCTATCTGGCCAGATATTTTAACATGTACAGTTTTATATGCCTGTTTGGAAGTGTATTCATTGTGATTGTAGTGCCCAACTAGTAAAGGACTATTTTCTGCACTCTTAGGTGTAGTGGGCATAGCGCTAAACATATATATTTTATAGGCAATAGGAACTCGGCTGGTGATGTGGTTAACATCATGCTGGCCGCCTTTACTTCTCTGAATTTTATCTTTTACCTATTTTAGGCTGGTTTGATTGGAAGCCAAAGTCAGTTTTAAAAAAAAAATCAGAACGGATATAGATTTGAACTCATGACCTTCAGACCTGAGGCGAGTGTTCAAAATCTTTTGGGACAAAAAATATTAATACCAGTAACTCAAGACGTATTTGGTGGAGCTTTAGAGTTAGTGCTTTGTGTGACGCTTGCAATCATCCATCTGCTGGGAGAGACTAAGCAGTAAAGGACAAATGTATCACTGTTCTGACAGTGAAGTGATTGGTTAATTGTGGGGTTTCAGTTAAGCAATTAAATCTTTCTGCAGTGGCTGGACTCTCCTGCCGGAGGATCCAGGGTTTGAAACTGAGTGAGGGATGGAGATTTTTTTTTCTGTACAGGACAAGATAAAAGCATACCAGGTTAAAGGGCGTAGTCGTTTGTGCACCCAAAAAATCAAGGCAGAGAACTAACTCATGGAAATTCATGAGTGTACGCTCTTTGAAGATACCAGAGTGGCTAAACACAATGTTGAAGTGGCTACACATCTTCACAACATGGGCAGTTTATGGTGGCTATACACAGTTGAAGTGGCTACACATCTTCACAACATGGGCAGTTCGTGGTGGCTATACACAGTTGAAGTGGCTACACATCTTCACAACATGGGCAGTTGATGGTGGCTATACACAGTTGAAGAGGCTACACATCTTCACAACATGGGCAGTTTATGGTGGCTAAAAACAATGTTTAAGTGGCTACACATCTTCACAACATGGGCAGTTTATGGTGGCTGTACACAGTGTTTAAGTGGCTACACATCCTTCACAACATGGGCAGTTTATGGTGGCTAAACACAATGTTTAAGTGGCTACACATCTTCACAACTTGGGCAGTTTATGGTGGCTATACACAGTTGAAGTGGCTACACATCTTCACAACATGGGCAGTTTATGGTGGCTATACACAGTTGAAGTGGCTACACATCTTCACAACATGGGCAGTTTATGGTGGCTAAACACAATGTTTAAGTGGCTACACATCTTCACAACATGGGCAGTTTATGGTGGCTGTACACAATGTTTAAGTGGCTACACATCTTCACAACATGGGCAGTTTATGGTGGCTAAACACAATGTTTAAGTGGCTACACATC